AAAGGTTACTTAGAGCAGAAAAAAAAAAAGGAAGTTGTACACGTCCTGAAAGGGAATGGCAAGTAGAAGAATAAATAGTTATTCGTGAGAGGTGGTTAATTTTATTGGCTTATCTTTTGGATAATCTTCTTTTGCAGTAAACCTGAGAACTATTATCGGTTCCCTGATGAAGAGCTCTATCTTTGTTGACTAATCAATAATCTCAGTATTTTTTTTTTGTTTGTTTTTCTTTCTACTTGTTGCTCACACACTGCTTTTAAAAGCTTATCAATCGCACAGTTCTTATCGACAAAGTGACTTCCATTTGCTTCCAGGTCAGAACATTTGAGAGGATCTATGGCTTCCTAAATGTGTGATGGTTGTTAGCATATCGCACGCGTGGCTGTCGTTATCTTGTCGTTATTGTTCTCAGTAACGCTATCCTCGCTTGCTTACAGCGTCCGCGCTGTCGGGGGAAAAACAAATCCAGATCACGTGACACCCGCTGCATTTGTGAGAGTTTATTGGGCACGAGAATTTTTGTTAGTTCGCTGTACATATGAGAAGATCTAAAATAGAGAAACAACTAGGAAGGAAAAATTACTTCCATTTGACTTTCGCTTGTTGTATTATAAAATATAGTTTAAGGTATGCGATATTTATGGGTAAAAGTACTCAATATAAGACATAGAGCATATCTAGATATAAAAATATAAAAGTGGGCACAGAGGTCAACACCGAGCGGCTACAGTATGTTTCGTGCCTAAACGCAATCTTCAGGCCATGTAGCACTTAGATCTGTTTAACAGCTATTCTCACTAGACCAATTAAGATTGAATACTGAGTTCGAGCCTCATTAAATGCTCCATATTTACGTCTTTGTGGTCCATTTAAGCTTATTAAACCACTAATATATATATATATATATATATATATATATATATATATATATATAATAGCTGGTCACTCGTATTCGAGGATACCCGTCTACCAGGGCAGCAAGCCAACCCCTATAGCAGATGCCCGCCCAGGCGCATTTGTGTTTATTCAACACCCAAACTGATAACGTCAAGAAGTCTCCTTCCTGACAATTCGACCATAAGGAGATTCGAACCCGGGCCTTATATAAGGGAGGAGATGGGGCAGTTCTGTAAACTTTGTGTCCCATCCTGCCATATCTTGTACCCACTTCTAAAATTCAAGGCAAGGCAATAAAGTCACTAAGACGCCAGAAGTTACTGAGTATGAAAGAATGTGAGAAAAAGAAAAACATTATTATGGAGAGAGAACAATAAAAGAAGATTGACATTGTATTCAAATTTTTCAAAATCAAAGTTGACTGGAAAGCAAGAGGCTGGAAGAGATTTCCACAAGGGAAAGAAGAAACTGTTACCATAGAACTTACGGATACATTTAGCTATTTCAAATGACAAATTCCAAAGAATTGCAATATTATCTCTTGGGTCGATGCTTTTACACTTGTTCAGTTACTTAATCTCAAAATCTGCTGTTGTTTTTTAATTGCTCTATTATTATTATTATTATTATTATTGAGTCCATAGGTAAACATTGGTCGGGTTTATACTTGAGTCTATAGGCTATCCGCAAGCATCCATTAGGTGGATAGTCCGTTTTTATTTATTCTGGAAGCGGGAAACAGTCCTATCCCTCTGCAGAAGATGCAGTCAGCGTATTTTAGGCTCCACCAGCAGAACAACCTCCACCAGAATCATTCTCGGTCGTGATTGTTCTCAGTAACTGATATGAACAAGTAGAGCTAAATAAATAAAACTAAAACTTTACTAAATACAGAGATATCGAAACTGATTGTTTTATAATATGCTTTATTATTTGGTCCATCATACTTATCTTGGTTGTTTTTCTCACAACGTTTCAGTCATTGTACCGTCTCGCCTTCTTCAGGTGTCTGTCGTCGTACTCGGTAAACTTCTCGGAATTTTGAACCGAATCGTTTATTCAATCTACGAGAGTATATTGTCCAAGAGACACATGGTCTGGTGGATTGAAACATATCTGTTAGCTAGCAGTTGTAAGTTCATATGAATCTGTTGATGTTTTTTACTGCTACAAGATTTATTAATTAAACCATTGCTGGGAGAGAGGAGGTGTATTTGCGCGTAAGTGAATATAACAACCCCAACGGGAAATCGAACTCGGCTATCCGATTTCTAATTCTGAGTTATGAGTCTGGCTACGCTGAAATATCACATACTTTGGTTCAGTGGAAGAAACGGTTAAGGAACAAAAAGTTGAATAACACTATTGAGTGTTAACTGATACGAGTTATCTCCCGTGAATTGAATAAAGTGTTTTATTCAAAATCCAGAGAATACTGAGTACGGCAACAATCGAAATATTGTAAGTCAATTATGTGATACACACTTCGGAGATTATGTATCTTTCGATACATGACTGACGAGGCAGATTTTTTCCTGCAGTAGATTATCATTTCTTTTTTCGGTAGACCAGTTGCCACCCAAGGCTATAGAACCCAGTCTGTCCTGCTATTTACCCATAGCTGGTGGGAGAAGAGGATTCATACGTATTAGCACGTAAGTCAATGGAATGGATTTGACTGGAATTCGAACTCGGCTCTCCGATTCCTCAATCCGATTATTATTACCCGAATAATAAAGCAAAATAATGAAACAGATTATTTCCTCTATCACTGATTATATTTCGCTTTATTTACCTCATTAAGTATTTATTTTTATCTACCTTGACCCATTCATATCTGTTAGAGAATAGATTACATATGAAAGAATTTGATGCGTCGCATTTTCAACTCCCGCGCTCTCGTTCAACAACATCACTGATCGACTAATTAGCCCCCAAAAAGACCTGTTCTTTTCCAACGCATCATTCAAAACAAGCCAGTTGCTAATTGTATCGTTGATTCCCATCAAACATCGAGAAGATTAATAGATTTCGTTTAATATGTTGAGCGTAGTCTTGGATTTAACCACAATTTTCTTTGTTTCTCATTCTTGTATTGAAGCCATTTTCCATCCCCATTGATTGTTTTGTCCAAAAGTGATATATTCTGTGTCGAATTAGAAGATAAAGACAAGTGTTTACACGCTGATCTATGTTCGTTTATATGGGAACTATTATTACAGTTCCTGAATTTTGTCCAAACCTACAAGATCTCCTAAACTCTGTTCTGCCATCCATTTACACGATCTCGTTAGGTAGATCATGCACTGTTTTCTCACTCTTGCCTTCAATATGTCCTATGAGTAGTAAATTTTCCAAGCCTTCTTTCCTCATTATATACCCTATAAATTTCAACACTCTCTTTCTGGTGTTAAGTATAAGTGCAGCATTTATAAAAACTAAAATACTTCTTGTTTTTTTTTTAAGGTATACTTTTAATATTTGCTATAGCTGATTGATTTTCCAACTAATAAATGGTTGGATATGCTTTAAAATTCTTTATTCGATCAGTTTACGAAAGATAAGTCAGAACATTTACATCAGCATTTTTGGCTCCCAGACATAACTGAATGTAACAACTTTTGGCTAATAGGAGAATTATTTGCTTAAGTGCTATTTACTCATGTCCGTAAACCATTGTGGCATGTCAGGGACGAGAAGTTTTGTTGATATCTGACGATGGGAGAGTGCGCGAGATAAATATATTCATGCGCTTCCCAAATGCATTCTTAGTACCATGTCTCTTTGAGACGTTAGCGATCATAGCTCTCCATGATTTCCTGTCTTTTGTAGCACTTAGTAAATTTTGTCTTTTTGCTATCTCCCCTTAACCCTGTTCTGCCATCCATTTACTCAAGCTTGTTAGGTAGTTCATGCGCTGTTTTCATCTGTTCCTCTTGCCTTCAATATGTCCTGTCAGTGTCAAATTTTCCAAGCCCTCTTTCCTAATTGTGTGCCCAATAAATTTCAACTGTCCCTTCCTGGTGTTATGTATAAGTGTAGCAATTATAAAAACTAAAATATCTCTTGATTTTTTAAAGTATCGTTTTAATATAATAAAATGTAACATTTACGGCCTTACCCAATCAAATATTGAGATTTTCTTAATAGAAGCTTTCAAATTATTTTTTTAAAGGTGCATATCTCGCAAAAGAAAAGAAAAAATTTCCTAAAATAAATTAAATACTAAAAAAATCTTCTTTTTAAACTCACTTTAAACTTCGACCTTGTATCACATTCGGTAGTGACGTGGGTTCACTGAAAAATCCCCAAAGACTAGAACAACGACCGTCGGTAGTAAATATCCATCTACCCCTCCACCCATTTTATTACTGTTATTCATTTATCTCGACTAAGGTAAAAACCGTAAAATTATTATGATTCTTTACATATCTGGCCATGATAAGGAAAAGGGTATGGGTATGAAATGGGTATGGGTATATAATATGGGTATGAAAAAAATGTGGTAAGAATAGATCGATATATTAGATGGGTGCAAAAGTTTCCATCAGAAAATCGGTTATCAATTGTAATTCAATCACTAGTTTTTTTTTTTTTGATGGGGGGGTTAAGATTGTTTGGAAACTAATATACAAGTGGGTGCCGAAAAGTTCTCGGCCCTATGCAATATTTAAGCAAATGACTAAACACTAGAATTTGATTTAAACCCCCTCCTTGGTGGGTCCGAGAACATTTTAGTATTTCCCCGTATAACAAACAGCGAGACAGCTCTACATGAACATGGCTGAATCGGAAATCTTTTTTTTAAACGACGAAAAAAATGCTCTATCTAAAGTTTTAGTTTGATATTGTTTTTTTGTGCATTCTTAGTTTCAGATATGTTAGTTTTATATATATATATAATGTGTGTGTGTGTGTGTGTATAGAGAGAGGGGTGCGATGGATACATTGTCGTGTAAATTACTCAAAAATGAGAATACCACTGACATTTCATTTTAAATGTATAGTATATAATAATGCACTTTTCTCTTAGACAAAGCGCTTTGCGTCTGATTTCTTCTCACTTGCTTGTCTTGTTTGTCCTTCACTGCTGTTTTTTAAAG